TTCATCTATACAGGTATAAGTCACATGAGCAAAAACTATATGCACTTATACTTCATAACTCGGAAAGCAGCAAAAAACTATTTACAAGAAGATGCATTGGAAGTGTTATGATTTACGAATCCCCTCCCGATTAAAATACGACCAGGCTATTTCAAAATGGCACTGTTTCTAACCAAACCAAAACAATGGGAAATCTAATTTATATGACGATAAAGTTAAATTTAAAAAAATAAACGATAGACATGTAGCCTAAAACATGTTTCGTTTCAATTTTTTTCAATTTTAAATTATGTTTGTCGTATCCTGTCAGCACTGGTAGAAAAAGCTTAACCGGTGTTGGTATAAGACAGGTTCAGGATATAAAGAGGGCCTCAAAAGCAATCAAATAACTGACCTTGTGCCGCATCCCGACTCCAGCTATCCTTGCGAACAATAAATTGTCCTTCTCAGGACATCTGCTCTCTAACGACCACAAAACTCTCCTCCAACGCTATTTATCACCCAGTACATGAGTCTTGCCGAGTTCGCACTAACATTATTTTTGTTTATGTATTTTTCTTTAACAAAAATAAACTTGACAATATTTATTTTTACTCAAGTCTTTGTTTTGTTTGTTCTTGTCTTCTGTCATTCAATATCCGTTTGTGGGTCAATATACATAACCCGCAATATGTTTTTATTTTTACCCATTAAAATGGATAAAGGAGATTTATTTCTATTAAATCAATTTTTTTTTCGTTTTCTATGCATATTTAGTTATTATGCATCTGTGTACAGTTAATTATATAAAAAGTATGTTTATTCAATTGTTGGAAATATAATAAATTAAAAATTTGTATGTGTACGTTTAGTCCTCTGAGAGACTTTTATCAAGGCAAACTTGGATAAATTTTTAATTAATTTCTTTCTGGCGGTTTTAGACTATTTACTTTTAGAAATCAACCTTTAGTTTGTAAGTTATGGATTGGTTTATTTTTGTTGTGATTGTGACTGAATTTCTTATTTTGTCTTTTGTTTGCTTTAGCAAAAATGTTGCTTCTTTTTCTTGTAATTCTTGTACCGGAGATTTTAGGAATTCGTGTGCGTAGAAAGGAAATATATAATGTGATATTTTTTATTAATCTGTTTCTGTGGGAATTTGCGGATATTAATAATCGTTTGTATTTTCTAGCTAAGTATATGTGTATGTTTTCGTTTTCCATGTCGAGAATGTGTAAAAATTTCAGATAAAATATATCTATAAAAGACAATATGAATAAAAGACAAAAGGATAAACTTATTTGCTTCACACACTCATAAAGTCCCTCAGCTAAGTTTTCCTTTGACTTTTTTTATATTGCCCTTTTATAGATATAGTCTATCTGAAATGTTTTTGCATTCGTTAATTTTATCTTTATCCATAGAATAGTGTATCACTTTCATAAAGCTACAAGTTCTACATATCGAGCCTAAAACATTGTTTCCTTTACCTTTCTATCGCAGCAAAATAACACACGGTTTCCACAAAACAGTAGCAACATTTTTTCAACTAATCTTATATTTGAGTGTTAATTGTCTTATGATCCTTAATTATATAAGGTTAATTGTCTTATGATCAATACTGTCATAATTGTCTTATGATTGATTAATACTGTCGTAATTGTCTTATGATCAATACTGTCCTTAAGGACAGTATTGATCATAAGACAATTAACACATTTTATCTTCATCGCTGGTTTTCTTTTTCTTCAAAATATTTCAGTTCGTCCATGTTGATTTACCAACCATAACAATCATCATCAGTTTCATGCTTAAGGTCTTTTGAAAATTTAAGTCTGACTCATGAAAATGGCTGCAATATAACAAAACAATATTATGTTAATGACAGTTTGTCATTAAGAGAATTAACCAAGCTGAAAGGAGATAAGAGAAATTTGTTCAAATTGTTATCATTCTTAAAACGGTCGACGTTTTGAACCTGTGAGCGCTGCTGAGATTTTACTTGATCTCTTCTATGGTCAATGGCTGTGAATGCACACACAATTACTGAATCTATATATGTATATTGATGTGTATAGAGGTATAAGGATACATTTATACACACCTGTACGCAAAATGTCGCAAACAAATGAAGAAACACAATGTTTGAAGATATAATTGTGGTAACACAGAAGACGAAAGTATGCATGTATGAAGGATACACAGAGAATCTGTAACAGATACACACGTTCTTAAAAGTGGTGGAGTGAAGAGGGTGAAAATGGGTTTGTGTGGATCCCACGGATGTGTTTTCTGTGAGATAAACCCATTTCCCTTTCTATGTGAGGGAAAGATCATTGAATGTCTTCCATTCTCATATACACATCTCTTTTAATGATAGTTTACAGGTTTAATTATTGCATTAATATCTGAAGAGACTGGGAAGAATTCATTAATTCGGTGTTTTTTTTTTCTTATAGGCAATAATTAGCTTTGCAAAATATTAAGTAGCGTTGTTTTATGTAACTATATTCTTTAATTGAAAGCATATTGGTTGTAAAGTGTACCTCACAAAAGTTGTTTTTTGTGTGCTAATGACATCTGTGTGTTCGTAAGATTTGCATATAGAAAACCTCAAAACAGCACGGGATTCTTCTTGAGTTTGAATTCAGACTGCTATTTCTATGTACAGAAAAAGATCCTTCATGGTTTTCAACATCAAATAAATGTTATGTGCTGACCTTTGCACAGTACAATATTAAATGTATTATAAAGATCGAATCTTTGCAAAGACAAGAATGCAAGTTAATAGAAGGATATATCGAACTTTCATAAGAAACATGACTCCAAAACTAACGGCTGATTAATCATTACATCAGCCATGCAGTTGTAGGAGGACATATTAAAGAAGAAATTAGCTGACGCATAAATATCGAAAAATATTGGAAATCATTCCATAAAATCGATCATGGACAAATGGATACAACATTCTAGGTTTTTGAAAAAGAAATCTGTATATAAATCCACTGTAGGTGTCATTAAAGTATATTCCTGGCTATGTTTAACTAAGCTGTGTTATCGCAAAAGGACAATACAAGTTTTGATTCAATGAATTCTCTGAGAAATGTTTCGATATATTGAATTTGTTAGAACTGCAAACATAAATAATGATGGCGCCTGGAAAAAAAGCAACATCCTGGTAAATAGATCGCGTGTAGTAGAATTTCTCATCCCAGTTACATGGTTTTTTGCAACACATAGATGACATGCAGCAAAATGCTGGTTGACTTCATTACTCAAAATAATATCTTCCTTTCCAATATGACTTTCAAACACGTTAACTGTCCGTCCAGTAATTCATAATAAGTCTCTGTATATTCCTTTTCCACCATTTCCGTCTGGGTTGAGATATTAAAATCTGGCCTGGATCTAGCCATAATTTTCTTCATAAATTTGTTTTCTTATTGCCTGTGGCTATTTTGTCCAAACATTTTTCTCTGTCGAAAAAAAAAAGAGAAATACAAATGTTTAAACACTTTTCCTAAATTCACATTGTAATCTGTAATCCATTTTGCGAACTTATGAATTTTAAGGCTTATAAATAACGGACAATACTTGACTGATTCACCTCTAATTTTTTTTTCCAAATCCACATTTTTGTCCAAATGTTCAGTTTGCAAATTTACCAGGCTAGTCGTTTTTCTTCAGCTCCCCCTAATATTTAGAAAGTAAAAGTAACTCAAAGAGCCATTTGGAATGAGATTAAAATCATAGGCAATCTTGTAGAGAACATGTCAGAAAATGTGACTGTGCCCGTCAAAAAACGGCATTCACAATGGCAAAACAGAACTCAGCACATTTTGACGATCAACAAAACAAAATCCACAATGGCCACACACAAATAAAAAAAAAACTGGCATTAGATGTGCTGAGAAATAAACATATATGTTGATCTGCTAAGAATTCCGAAAAGTCGTTAGTAAACAAAATAATTTCATACAAAATAACCAACAACTTACTGAAGAACATAAAGCAAATAGCTTGCAAACAAATTCTCTAGTAGTGAGTGAATGAAACTGACAACTTGTTATTACTACAAAGAGACGTTCTTGCCTCATATAAGAGCCTGCTCAGTACATTTACCGAAGCAAATGCGACATTCTCTTCTTCAACTACATAAAAATAGCAGTCAACAATATTCACTCATGTTGTCACAGCCTAAATATCTGATTCACCAACAAACAAAGACTACCGTGTTAAACGAGCCTCAATGATAAAGTTAAAGTTCATTTGAAAATATTTTTAACGTGGTTAGGGTCAAAGGACCAGGAATCTACTCTCAGTTTCGGCTGATCAGTGGCTGTTAATGGAAAATTCACTATCTGGTTGACTGTCAAAGAATGCTATCCCGGATATTTTGTTTTGCAACGGGTACATTTGCACGATTACATTTGACTTAGCCAACATCTTAGAACCTAGACCAAAGAATGCCTAAAATATACAGTAGCAACAACAACGGAAAAACTCACATCTATCGGCAAAAAAACTAATTCTAACGATGAAAAAAAAAACGTCAGTATTTCCTTGTACACCGCTCCAACTGCTCTTACCAGATGACTTGATCAAAAAATAGAGAAAATGTCGACCATCAACAAGGGGCGTAGCAAAGTTTCCAACAAAATGGATGGCTGAGGCAGTGTCTAAATCTTTTAAGTCAACAACAGAAGCAATAATTCCTGTCTACACTGATTTTTCTCAAGGCGCCATTGGTAGCAAGTACTCAGATCCTCCTCCCACGTCAAGGAACCTTGAAAGAGTAGATGAGAATGTAAACAAAAAAGAATCAAGAAAATAAATATTTGGTCAAAGGAGTGCCCATCACCTAGTACTCCACAAAATTCCTCATAACCAGGTACAGAGAAAGCGGTAAAGTAAAGCAAATATTTGTCACTGAGGAAGATGTTTATTGAATGGACAAGCAGGTTTTGGAACAGCTCGTATTGTAGAAGCCTTCAAATCACGTAGACCATTAATTATCGTACATGGCTGCTGGTGCCTGTGGTCATCACATTCATGATAAGGAACAGCGGGAAACTGAAGTCTTGGGACATATTGTCAGAGGCTAGGGAAGCTTTATCGGATCTCATGTTGACTGCTCTCATCCATCCTAGTCTAATAATTTGTTCGCGGAAGGACTCTATCAATATATATATATATATATATATATATATATATATATATATATATATATATATATATATATATATGGCTTCCTCTTCTATATCGGTGGTCGTTAGTAATCGAGTTGACAAACTTCACTAGATAACCAAACCTGGTCTCCTTCAACACGAAGTATTTCGAGTTTACTTTCGAAACTGATTAAGAAAATGATGCATGCTTACAAAGAAAACGATATAAATATCATTTTCTGTAAGAAAAATACGAGGATTGTGTTGAAAGCGATTGAACTGCACGAGTATTTGTTATAATAAGTCAACGCTTGTCAATTAAATACAAGAGACATGTATGCATTTTGGAGTGTAAATTGGAACCGATCTCCATCTAGAAAACTGATTAAGTGCAAAATTTAGATGCATTTTTCTGTCTGAAAAGATTTTTTTTAACATTTTCTCCATTCTATCAAAAGAGGAAAATAAAGTCATGTGTCAAACAAAGCAAAAATACATATAGAGAGATTTTTCTCCCCAGAGAATGCTTTTATCTCAGTGATTAGAATCCTTCGACTTGATTATTTGGGACAAATAAAAATAATTTTTCATTTTTCAGTCTTCTTGTTCACAAGACAGAAACATCTCGTGTTACATTTGAACAATACACATAATAATTTGTCTGAAATTCTGAGATGAAGAGTTATTATTTACGCTATTTACATTCGGGTAATTGTCCTCATCTTTGTTGCTGTCATCACAACGTTTCGACCGTTGTGTCCTCCGGCCTTCCTCAGGTGTATATCGATCTCGGTAACCTATAGGGAATTCCGAATCGAACCCTTTACTTAATCTACGGGACTGTTCTCGTTCCTACTGAAGAATAGACGAAAGTGTTCGTTCGTGAATATGGTGGCATAGTAATTGTGAGTTCAATCCCAGGGCCGGGCAGTGTGTGCTTGAACTCAGTGGAAACAGGGCGTACAATAACTGAGTAATAGTAAAATAAGATATCCATATCCCTAGACATGAACAATGCAACGAGAACAGTCTATTGCCGTAGATTAAATAAAGAGTTCAGTTCAAAATTCCCCTCGGGTTACCCAGATCGATATACTGCTATGACGACCGAGCACAACGACCGGGACATTGTGATAACAACAACAATAATCCGAATGTAAATAGTGTAAAGAACATAACAATAAATATGAAAAAAGTAATGTAAATAGATTATTAGTGGTTTTTATTCCACTATGAGAAAATATTCAACTGATGCAATCCTTTTGTAAAATCAAATGGTTCGTCTTTTATCTTCAAGGAAATAATTCTTCACACAATAAAAAATGTTTTTTTTTTAATTGATTTAATGCCATTCATCTGACGGATTTATTATCCATTGTCAGCTTTGACGGTCCGAACCTATTGTCTATTTAGATTTCCCTTTTTGTTAAACTGTTAGGGGATGCAGGATGGCGTAACAGTTGTCGACATGGGAAATAGTATTGACGAACTGAGTTCAAATTCCGCCTTTTAGAGAGAAAGGTCATACATCCAGATTTTTTCACTCTGTCCATTCGCGTAACATATTCTTAATGAAACATGTTGTTGCTGGTTTATCACAATGTTTAATTGAAAAAAAACAAAAAAATTGAGTGATCACTTGAACAATCATTCTCCCACAACTTCAACCCAAAATAATTCAATAATCAAAAGAACATTTCGCATTCTCTTGAAACATCTGATTTGAATATCAAATATTTCTAAAATAGAAATACTTTTATTAAATAAACAAATCATTTTGTTGAATTGACAACATTCACTCAACCGTTTTCTATTTATTTGCTTTCATTGGCCGAAAAACCAGATCATCTGATGATCTATGAAAAATTTATAACGGACAATAAAAATATTACTATTTTACTTCCTATCACAGTCGATAAATATGAAAGAGATTAACTAATTGGGTGCATTCAACATTTTAGCAAAATTCGATCGCCAAAGCTAACAATGGATATAGCAACGTTTACAAATAAAAAGTTCAATTTATTAATTTGTTTGGAAGTATTAAGCATTTTATTTACTTTTGCTCATGGTCGCTCCATTTTATTCACGCCGATCCACTTTCTAAAATCACTAAAATTCCAAATTTGAAGTATTATTCAAACAGTCAAGAATTAGTTATTAAAAATAATGATTTGTAAGACACTCGGCTATTACAGTGAGGGCTAAGACCTATGAGATGTGTAGGAGGGAGGTACTGCAAAGTTCTCAGCCCGACCAACTTGGGAAATAAATACATGTTGACATATTGACTGCAATATTATATTTATCGTACGGAACTAATAAATCTGGTGAATATTGAGCTCGTTCTTCAGGGGTCGCTCTCCGAAAAAAGCATTGTAGGAAATGTTCCTTTTCATCCGTCAACAATCATATAAATATGGTTGCAGATGAGGATAATTCTTGCAAAATGTTTATCCTCTTCGAGATTTTTCATTTTTTCATGTTTATTTAGAATCTAACGTGCACTTCTGTCGGTTTTCATAAACTTCTCTGGACGGATCTGCATATTCTATATTAACCTGGATGCCCTTCTTTGTTTATTTCTGTCTTTCTTTAATTTCACGCAAATCGTCAAAGACCCTGAAGACTACTCACCGCATGCAATATTTACGTCACTTCATTAAAGCGTAGTGAGTAAAGAAGAGAGAAAGAAAGCAGGAAAAAAAGGACAGAGAGAAAAAAATGAAGCGGACTGGCATTTTCCTAATTAGAAGATCGTTTCGTTTCGTTTCTTCTTTCTACTCCGCCCTTTCCTTTTCCAAATAGAAACAGAGAACTTTTACGCTTCACTTAATACCATGTGCTAGACGCCATGTTGTCTGTATCTTGGCACCATAAGAGATTCCGTTGAAGAAAAACTAATCAAGTGTAAGAAAAATTTCAAACTGCTGTGAATTTATCCAAAAGATTTATAAAAATCTGAAAGCGACGTATTTTTAACTTTTATTTTTAATTGAATATTTCATCTATTTCTATTTTCTTTTTAATTCCTTTTTTCGTTTTATTTATTTTGCTTTTGTTTCTTCTACTTTATGGACCTTGTCCTTTTTATTCTTCCAAAACATTTCTAATTTTTCTTTGCTAATTCGCTTATTCGTTTCTTCATTTCATCTTATATTGTTTTTCATAGTTTTCTTTCTTCATCAATTCCGATTACTTCCTTTATATGCGATTTTTATCCTTTTGCCTTTCTCGTATACATTTTCGAATTTTGTGTCTGTTCTTTTCATCTCTCTCCTCCCCTCTCCCCTCTCTCTCCCCCCCTCTCTCTCCCCTCTCTCCCTCCCCCTCTCTCTCTCTCTCTGACCCTTTTTGCACTCTTTATTTTTTGTTCTGTTTTATATTTTTCCCTATCACTTTCCTATTATTCCACACACCTTTTTGTTTTCTCTTTTCTTCAGCGTTTCCGTTTAGTTTCTTCTTTTTTCTTTTCTTTCGCTTTTCCTTGTTTTTTGCCTTACAAATATTTTTGCCTTACAAATATTTCCTTCTTTCGGTTTCATTTCCATTAAATTTTCATTTACCCGCTTGCTATGTTCATTTCTTTTTTTTTTTTTTTTTTTTTTTTTTTTGGTACTTTTGTCTTTTGTTAAACTTTTATCTACTTTTCCTTCTTTACTTTCTATGAATTCCATTTCATTCTTTTTTCTATTTTACTCAGATTCTCTCTCACTTTATATGTTTGAATTTTTTCTTTCTTTTTTATCCTTCTTTTCTCTTCTAGCTTAATGCTCTCCTGTGTACATTTTTTCTTTATCTCCTCAAAGTGTGTGCGTGTGTGTGTGTTTCTATTTACTTCTGTCTACGCTTGTCTCTGTCTCTGTCTTTTTCACCTACTCTCTTTCCATACCTTCTTTTGTGCTTTAATTTTTTTACAGTATCCCCAGGCAATACATCCATCTGTATAATGTCAGTAGTCGTCTTCCAATGTCTGCTTCCTTCCGTTGTTTCCAAATGTCCTGAGGATACTGGAAATGCCTGCAGCAGTGGGAGGAGACGAGCAAAATTATGGAAGAAAAATGTTATTTAATATTTACCGACATCATTGTTGACAGCAGGTAGTCTTTACGGCTGTCGTTGATGTGTGCCGTGCAAAAGATTATTCTAGGGCCTACGAAGAGAACGAAGCTAAAATTGCAAGTTACGCTAGTAACTGAGAAGGTAAAAAAGAAGAACGATTTGTTTATTGAGTCTGGGAAGGATCTATCAATGTCTCCATTTTGCATGATCACTACTGAATCAGCACCTCTTGTGTTTCTCTATCATCGTTCAAAATCAACCACCTGTAAACAAACAATAAGTACTCGATTATTTTACTCTTGTTTTAGAACTGCTCTTCTTATACAATCTTAATGTTGTGGTAGGATCCACCTAATTTGCATAGTGGAGTACCGACCATATAAATATGGTTGGTACCGGGAAGAGAGGGAGAAATCAAGAGATTCAACCAGAGACTCTGCCCGACTGTGACTCAGTTAACACATTCTTCAGGAACGGTCTTACCAGGAATATACAAAAGACTACATGTAAATATTGTGTACACTTTCTTGTTTCAATACATTTTGTTCTAAGTACATTTTGTGTTGCATTATTATTCCATGCATTAGTCAAGTTTTAACAATGGCAACGAGGATGAGATAGAACTATACGAAAAAAAAAGAATTGATAATTGATAGCCTTCAACAGTTGGGACAAGTCATTGAAGAACCCAGGCTGAAGGAAAAAATTATTAATTAAAAGTCCAACATCTAATGGAACGGCAAAGGATTCTGAAGTTCTGGATATTTAGAACTCGTTAAAGGACGACTCAGCATAAAGGAACGTTCACTCAGAAAAATTTGAAAGGTGTCGTAAACGAATAACGGTGATTTAAAAAAAATGAAAATAAAATAAAAAAATAAAAAACGGGCCGACTACAAAAACATGCATGGAGTTAAAAGGCGCACAAATACAGCGTGTCATATTTGAAAGGTAACGAACTTTTAAAAAAAAAATTTTTTTTTTGGTTGCTCAACAATATTTTATAAAGCAAGACATAAAATAAAAAAGTCGTAAGTTGTTTCGATTTTTCTGGTCAGATTATATTATATCCGTGGATACACAAATTAAAAGTATATTCTTTGTTCAAAAGTTAACACTGGAGAAATTAAACAACAATCAGGCAAATGAAGGAAATTCTTCATATTCTAATAACATCATATTTAATTCGCTGGAAACTTTCAACTATGGGCCAGACGAAGAAAAAACGTTTAAAACGTACTTTAAACGATATGAAGATATTTTCTACACAGACTGTGAAAACTGGTCGAATTCAAGAAAAGTCAGTCTATTACTAAGAAAGCTAGGTACAGCAGAACATAGCAAATTTGTAGATTTTATTCTACCGAGAAGGACGAATGAATTGGAATTCTCGGAAACAGTGAAATTGCTAAAGGAGTTGTTTGGAGCAAATATGTCGCTTTGGCATAAGCGATGGTTATGCATGAATGTCGCTAAATCCGACGATCAGGATTACTTAACATATGCATCTATAGTGTCTAGACATTGTGACAATTTCAGATTGGCAGAGATTACGGTTGAAGAATTCAAGTGTTTAATTTTTGCTCAAGGACTGGTATCCAGTAAGAGTGCCGAAATAAGACGTAGAGTTTTGGCTAAACTCGAATCTGAACAAAACCTTACCCTACAAAAGTTAGGAGAGGAGTGTCAGCGGGCCGTAAGTTTAAAGAAAGAGTCTCAAAAAAATCGAAGAAGCTGGCATTGCTTATATTAAAAAAATTAAAAAAACAGTCAAATTACCCATCAGCAAAAAATTGGAGTAAAAATTCGGTGTATTTTAAAAATAGACAAGAAAAATTAAATGAAAAGAACGAGGAGGAAAAAAGGTTCCACCATATAATTGTAGACGTTGCAACGAAAGACACTGGGAGGTAAATTGCCCATATAGAAATAAGAAATGTTTCGTGTGCCACAAGAATGGACACAAAGGATCGTGTTGTAAAACGAAAAAAGTCAATAGCCGAATTAGACAAACAAATTCAAATATCAAATCAGATAGAGATTTGAGGAAATATGTGACGACTGAAATATTTAAAAAGAATATCAAATTTCAACTCGATTCGGGTTCAGATTTAACAATAATGAACTATAAAACATGGAAAATTTTAAAAAGGCCTACAATAATGAAGTCAACGAAATGCGCTCGAACGGTAACTGGAAAGGAAATTATCTTCGAAGGCGAGGTTGTACTTCCCATGAAATTGAACGGGATAGTTAAAAAAAATAAAAGTTTTCATTCTGAAAAATGGAGAAAACTTGATGGGTACAGATTTTATTGAAACATTCGAATTGTGGGATAAACCGTTAAACTCATTCTGCAGAAAAGTAGAAAGTAATACGCAAACAAGACAGGGCATTAAAGAGGAATTAAAGAAAAAGTTTCCGGAAACCTTCACACCTTGTCTTGGAAGATGTAACAAGTTTGAAGCTAAATTTGAATTAACGGAAAATACTATGCCAATTTTTAAAAAGAAACGTAACGTGCCTTTCGCAAGTGTAGAGAAATTAACGAAGAACTTGATAGGTTGGAAAAATGGGAATTATTTCGAAAGTAGAATCTAATTCATGGGCTGCGCCGATTGTGTGCATAAAAAAGAAATCAAACCAAGTCAGAGTCTGCGTTGATTTTTTCGACAGGGTTGAACTCGGTAATTAAGGACTACCATTACCCGTTACCGAGTCCGGAGGAGATTTTTAACAAGCTAAATGGTGGAGTTATATTTTCAAAAATCGACTTATCAGATGCCTATCTCCAAATTCCCGTCGAAGAGGAATGTTCGAAGTTACTAGGGATAAACACGCATAGAGGGTTATTCAAGTACAACAGGCTTCCTTTTGGTATTAAAGTGGCACCAGCCATTTTTCAACAATCTATGGACGTCATGTTGAATGATTTAGACTTTGCGTGCGCCTACTTAGACGACATCATAGTAAGGAGCGAAACCGTCGACGAACATCGAGAGCATCTCAATCAAGTATTTAAAAAGATTCAGGACTTTGGTTTTAAAGTCAAAGAGTCAAAGTGCGAATTTGGTTTGGAGGAAATTAAGTATTTATGTCACATAATCAACAAAAGGGCAGATTTCCAGATCCGGAAAGGTCCATTGCGATTAGAGACATGCCGACACCCACTAATGTGGCGATGCTACAGAGTTTTCTGGGGCTCGCAAATTATTATCAAGCGTTCATTAAAGGAATGTACAATCTAAGAGCTCCGTTGAATGAACTGCTAAAAAAAAAGACAAGGCATGGGAATGGACGGTAGAATGTCAGAAAGCCTTTGATGAAATAAAGAGAATGCTTACGTCCGACATCTTTTAACCCATTACAATCCAAAACTGGATATTGTAGTGGCAAGTGACGCCAGTTCATACGGGATAGGAGCGTGTATTCAACACATAATGCCAGATGGTTCTAGAAAACCAATTGCACATGCTTCGAGAACTTTACTCCCAGGAGAAAGAAGTTACTCACAAATCGAAAAAGAGGCGTTGAGTATCATTTTTGCCATAACAAAATTTCACAGATACATCCACGGCAGACATTTTATGCTTGAAACGGATCATAAACCACTGATCACTATTTTTGGTTCAAAGAAAGGGTTACCCGTTTATACGGCAAATCGTCTGTTGAGATGGGGAACCATTCTTCTCAATTATGATTTTCACATAAAGCACCTATCATCCAAAAATATAATTCATGCGGATAGTTTATCAAGACTCGTACCGAGTCAAGAAGAAAAATTCGAAGAATCAATTATTGCAAATATCAGAGCAGATTATGAGGTGAAAAGCATGGTAAACAACATTGTAAGAGAGCTACCGGTTACACTAAAGGAAATTAAAAAAAAAGCTGAAAGCGATGATTTCATTTAGAAATAAAAAGCAAAATGGTAGCAAATGACCAAAAAGTGCAGGAGATTTATTCAATAAGTGAAGGAGTTTTATTATATGGTGAGAGAGTAGTAGTACCGAAAAAGTTGCAGAAAAGAATACTACGGGACTTTCATATGGGTCACCCGGGGGTTAATAGAACAAAAAGCTTAATGCGAAGCTTTGTATATTGGAAAGGAATGGATATGGATATCGCAAACATGGTTCATCGATGTAAAGGGTGTGCGTTAGCAGCTAAGGCACTACCTATAGTACACAAACCATGGCCCAAGACGGATCATCCGTGGACAAAATTACACATTGATTTCGCTGGTCCAGTAGAAGATTATTACTACTTAATAGTGGTAGATAGTTTTACAAAATGGCCGGAAGTACTACACTCAAAAAGCCTACGTCTAATACCACAACAGCTTTCTTGCATTAACTATTTGCACGGTTCGGGGTGCCAGAGTGTATTGTGAGTGACAATGGTACACAATTCGCTTCTGAAGAATTTAAGGAATTTTGTGAGTTATATCAAATTAACCACATAACGACGCCGCCGTATCATCCGAGGTCCAATGGACTCGCAGAAAGATTTGTCGATACTTTAAAGCGCGCTCTGAAGAAAGCCTCAGGAGTTCCAACGGAAAAGGCGCTTCAGCAATTCCTACAAGTATACAGAATCACACCAAACCAGAGAACACACTCAAACATGTCACCAGCTGAACTAATGTTCGCTAGGAAAGTTAAGTCAGTGTTTGACAAACTTTTGCCAGGAAAAAATAGAGTA